ATGGTATGTGGTATTTTGGGGAGACTCACTAAGCTTCGTGCTTATAGTTTTCAGTTTTGGTTTCAGGTATTTCCGGTAGCAAATAGAAGAGCTCGGGATGATTGCAGTGCACACACCATGATTTTAGCCTGAGATATTTTTACTCTGATATGTTTTGACAGATGATTATGATGTTTTGAGAAACAATAACTTATGATTTTCATGTGATGTTTGATAGCTATGGTTTTATTAATAATTAAAAATGAAATTTTTGACAGTATTTTTGGGATGTTTCACTTTACCCCCTTTAAGGCCCAAAGCCTTCACGCAATCAACTTTTGGCCTACAACCCTAAATTAAGAAATGACCAGAAAGAGGATGTGACACCCATTTTAAATATTCTAACTCCATAATATGAACATCAACTCTTGACACGCCCCGCTAAAGTGGAAACACGAGGCACAATAGTACAAAGGGTCTCACAGCAAAAGTTAAAAGACAACACTAACCATAGTATTAAAAGCTTTACCGTTTACACTAAGTTTGAACAACTTTTAAAAGTAATTACAACGTATTAAAATAGAACAACAGATGCAAATGCTCCTACAAGTGTTGTGTCTCTACGTGCCTCGTATTAGGTGATTCCTGAAAAAAGCATGTAAAACAAACGTCAACTATAAAAATAGTTGGTGAGTTCACAAGTTAAAAATAATATTGGTTTCATGAATCGTAATCAAATTTTTTATAGAAGTTTCCATAAATAAAAGTACATTGATAAAATGAGTTAATAATTTTGCATAAACAAAGTTCGTTGTCATCATGAGAAATAAAGCAGGTTGCCAAATTGAGATGCAAATTTCATATTCTCATGGGAAATAAAGTTCGTTGCAAAAACGAGTAAACAAGTTTCTTTGCTATAATGAGTAAAAAAGTTTGTATGCATGTAATAATCTTTGTATGTGTGTAACAATCAACAATGAGTTCACAACCAAGCCTATGACTGATGCCCTATCAAGATCTATGCTTATCATTCCATAGACGAACATGGTAAAATGCACTCAAGCAATCGGGCGAGTGAGGAGTTGTCAATTCCTAATAGCTATTCATAGTAACCATTGGCTCAAAGAGCTAATGGTTGGAATAAAGTGTAAGGGACTTAAGATGATAAGGCCTCATGTTTCAAGTTGCATATAAATACATAGCAAAATATCGCAAAATATGGCAATCAAGTTTGATAAAACTCAATATATATACATCAAACATAAATAGTTAGGACATGCTTTTCCACCCCAAAACATTTAAAAACTGAAAATAGGGGGAGACGTGAATACTCACAATGCCTTGAGATAAAGCCAATGGTGCCTTGAACTACGCTTCACTTGTACCACTATCGATTCTTACAATGATGTTACACACTAATGAGTCTCTAATGAAAATCTAATACTAGTATACTTACTACTACAATAGAATTATGCCAACATTGTGTCAAAATTTAATATTGTTAAGTTACAAACATTTTTCTGTGAAATTTAGATTTCTATGAATCAATTTGTTGTATAACAAATTCAAGTGGAAATTGCCATTATTGAAATGTTAAAATTTAACATTTTAGGAGGTGTTCCAATGATTAAATATTCAAAAACTAAATCAAATTAGTTCCAAAATTTTCCAAACATTTCATTTCAGTTTTAACTGAAGTCAAAGACCTTAAGATAAATTTTCTTGAATTTTTTATTTGTCTAACTATTTTTCACCATTTTGATTTCTTGAATAATCACAAAATCATGGAAAATGAGTAAATGATCATGAAAAATTCTTAGACTTTTTGTGTAACTGTTTCACAGCATCTATAAACTAAAAAAATTATTAAATGCTACTTTTGAATAATAAGACCTGGCTTTTGTAATTTAATTGTGTTTTACATCAAGGAATTCTAATTAAATAGAAAATAGTAACTAAAAATCACACAACTTTTTATTTGTGTTCCAATTGCAGTCAATGATTTCCAGAAAACGTTTCATACATTTTAGATATGTATAGCCATTTTTCCTATATTTAATTCTCTAAATCGATACAAATTCATGAATAATAGCAATCAGTTAATAAAAGAACAAATTACTGAAATAGTCCATGTGGTTTGGCTAAAGTTGCGCGTTTGGTCCCTATCTTTTGTTTTGCACTCGGACCATCCTCACGTTTTCTTTTTATTACCCGCCTGGTCCCTAGGTCCGCTAGTCGTCAATTCCAAACGTTAAGTCCCCCCACGTGCTTCGCACATGAGGGGTATTTTCGTCATTTTATACATGACGCCTAAATGCAATGACAATCGTTTCTTCATTCCGATCATTTTACGATCACCTCCCTCTCACACACACTCTCTCTCACTTAATATGTAACTCATCAAAATCGAGTAGAAACCCTAACTCCTCAAAATTCTACAAGAATCATCGAAGCAACAATGTTAGGTTGGAGGATTAGAGAAAACATGGAAGAAATAGACGTTGAAAAACATTACGGTAACCCCTTATATTCAAAAGCTAAATTTATCACTTACAAATTTCAAGCTAATAAGTTGAAGCTTTCTCTTTTACAGCTGGTCATCCAACTATCTTCTCCATCAGATTATTCTATGGTGGAGAGTTTACGAAGTCTCCTAGAAGGAGGTACGTCAAGGGCAAAGAAAGATACGTTGATCTATTGGACATTGATGAGGTTTGTGTGCACGATATTGATGAGATGATGGAGACCCTAGGCTGTGTTGAGGATGGTAAGTTGCTTTATTACCACTTCAAAAGACCCTTTTCAGATTTGGAATTTGGGTTGTTTGCATTGGCTAGTGACAACGACATTAACCATTTGGGTACATACGTGGGTAAACATAAACTGATTGAAGTTTATGTTGAACATGGTAAAACAATGCTGCATACATATACAATGTCATCTACCCCTAGTAAAGTTAGGATAGAAGAAATCGTTGATCAACCTTCGTGTAGTAGAAGGCTATTTTTGGAATGGAAGGAAACTGAAACAGGGGATTGTATTGGACCAAGTAAACCAGATGGTGTGCCAACAAAAGAAACTGAAAGTGACCAAATTCATGCCCAATGTGAAACACAAGGTATATTTGATGAATTTGTGAAATTCTAAATGAAGAACGTGGAGGGATTACTCATGAAAGTGACAAAAGAGATGATGTTGATGATAGTGGTGATAGTGGTGATAATGATGATAGTGAGTTCTTAGTAGACTTAGAGCGTGGTAGGGCATCAAGAAAGAAAAGAAGGAAGTCAACTGTTGAATTAGAAGATATGGTGAAGGCTGGTAGGGCATCAAGGAAGGACAAGAGTGTGACATGTTCAAAATGCAAAAAGCTTGGTCATAATAAAAGAAGTTGCAAAGGTCAAAGTGCATGTGATGATATTTCAAGCAAGAAAGGGAAGGCTAGGAAGAAAGCTAAAAGTGTAGGTGATGGTAGTTCAATCAAGAAAGGGAAGGATGGGAAGAAAGATCAAAGTGCAGGTGATGGTAGTTCAAGAAAGAACGGGAATGTTGGGAAGAAAGCTCAAAGTGCAGGTGGTGGTAGGCAAAGTGGAACTCAAAGTGCATGTGATGGAATTTCAAGCAGGACAAGGAAGACTGGGAAGAGTATTGCTTAAGTTATGATTACGTTTTCATATTTTGTGTATGTGTTATGAACCAATTATGGTGTTATGATCTTTTTTGTTTGTTATATTTGTCATTATGTTTTGTGTATGTGTTATGAACAATTATGGTATGACTTTTGGGACCTGTTGTCTATGTATGGTATGACTTTTAATGTATCTCTATTTTCAATTATGGTATGAACAATTAGTGCTATTAATCTGTTGCTATGTTTTTGTTTTAATTCCATTCCATTTAATTCAATTCTATTCAATCATTCAATTCAATTCCTCAATCATTCAATTCAATTCCATTCTAATTCAATACCATTCAATTCTATTCAATCATTCAATTCAATTCAATTCCATTCCAATAGAAAACCAGTCAATTGCATTCCATTACAAACCACTCAATTCCATTCCATTATAAAACCGTCAATTCCATTCCATTCCATTATAAAACAGTCAATTGCATTCCAGTACAAACCACTCAATTCCATTCCATTACAAACCACTAAATTCCATTCCATTATAAAACAATCAATTCCATTCCAAAAGAAAATTGCATTCCAACAGACAATTCTATTCCAATAGTGAATGCCATTCATACATTGTCATTCTATTACATTACTGCCTTGATGAAACAAAAGATAAGTACATTGATAGC